AAAAAAAAAAAGCCACTTTTCTCACTATTTTTTTTTGTTTGGAAAAATAGTCACTTTTCCCCACAGAAATATATTGTTATTAGTAACATGTAATTGGTTTGTTATTATTTTAAATGAATTAACAAGTATTTTTTAAAAGTCTGTGTTAGTTTCCAATAGGGTAATTGTCAATAGATATAGCTTCCAGAAACAAAAGATTTTTGGAGTCCTCAGAAATTTTTGAGAGAGTAGAGGGGTTCTGAAACTAAAACTGGGGGACTGTTTCCTGAATGCAATGGCTCTTAATCCTGACAGCAAATGAGAATCATCTGGAAAATTTTTTTTAAAAAGGGAAAAAAAAAGGTCTGGGTCCTGCCCCTAGATTAGCTGAAATCTGAGTCTGGGAGGGTGTGGTTCAGGTATGCTCCCCACTCCCCACAAGCTCCCCCATGAGGTTGTAATGTGCATTTAGGGCTAAGAATCACCATTCTCCCCTGTTGCCGCAAGTGCATCAGATAAAGCGGGCGACAGGGCAGGGTGAGACTGATGGAGGCAGCTCTTTGGGAGGAGGGAGGCAGGTGAGAGTTGGACAGGAACCATAAAGATAGATGACAGTCCCTGATATCTACTTGTAATGAATAAACGAGATCCGGAGGATGGAGGAGCACGCACGTGCACCCTTGTCAGCCAGAGAAGGATCTGGTTGGTAGGGGAAGATACCGCCCCACTTCCGGAGGGAATCCACTGTCTGTGCCCTGGTGCCAGCAGCTTCCTGAGTAGCCCACAGGTCTGAGGTTTTGTTTCTAGACATTCTAATGAGGTTGGGTTAACCAAGGGCAATCTCAAGCTCTCTCCTACCACCATCCTCTCTGAAATAAAACATGTGATGGGAAATACTCACAGTCCAGCAGAGAATGGCAAATCCAAACCATGCAACCCCCCAGGCGTGTCGGTTCATTGGTCCAGAGATCAGTTCATAGCAGCCCTGGAGAAGGGGGCAATTCCACATCCGTGTGGGAGGGACCAGAAAAAAGATGTAAGAGATGGGTGGGAAAGCTGATTGCTATTTGAATCAATGCCACTCCAAAGTGCAGTGTAACATAACTAGCTATTTCTACAACCTTGTGATCAGCCAGGTGTTAACAGTCCTCTACTGAAGAAACAGGAGTAATCCTGCCAAACAACTAATCTGTATCACGTTTATTTGTATCTTTAGCATTCACTCTAACTAACCAAGGTGCTACAATTTCAGCATAACATTTTTCTCATATTGTAAATGTAAAGTATTTGCAATAAAATTTGAGGGGTTTTTTTTTCTTCTCCCAAAGGATTTTATTGGTGATTTGTTTGCGGGCAGAGTTACTTTTTGATTTGTTTTTTAATAAAAGTGCTTCCAGTGAATGAAAATTTATTTTGTAATCATTAAAGGAACCCCAATACCATGCTTTCTAAATTCTCCTTTGACATCATATTTCAACAAAGCATCATAGGATTCTAGAAGAGCCATGGTGTGTGTAC